AATTCATTAAACTTGCAGCAACCCCAGGAGTCTGCCTTCAATCCAGAGACGTGTTTTAAAGATCCATCATTCCTCCAGTTACTTGCAGCTGAAAATCGTTCCACAGCCTTACTGCAGACTATGTTTCCACGGGCCAGTGTGACTAACTTTAATAACGGTGGGAATGAGGAAGGAAATCAAATTATAAAACAAACCTTGGAGACTGCAGGCATCCCAAATACGTTTGATAACACAGAAGTACTTCCACATGTAGTTACAACAAGTTGTGTCACTGGTACAACTCAGATAAATGCAGCTGTTCTCCCCAACTCAACTGCGTCCCCTCTGCTGCAGACAGTCTGTAACCCCAGTACCCTGCTAACAGACCAAAACAGGACCCTCAATGCCAAAATTCCTCCAATAAATGAATGCAAGAGTTTGCCTGGCTTTGCAACAGAAGGCTTAATGTTAAAGACTGTTGAAAATGGCTTAGGTCCTAGCTCATTTTCTAATACTGTTGCAGCAGCACAAAACTTCACAGGGAACAGTTCACGAGTTTCAGTTATAAGTAGTCCCAAGAATTCAGGATCAAGCAACTTGAATAAGAAGGGAACCAGTGCTTCAAAGAGGAAGAGAAAATCAACTGCGCCCTTGCTTGCACCCAATACGTCTCAGAAAGTAGTAGTAGATAATACAACAGTGGGACTTCTGGTGAAAAGCACTGAAGGAAAAGTGCAAATACAGGGAGAAAGTTTTCAGTCCAACTTGGTGGCAAATTGTGGCTCTCAAGCAGTGGTGGAAAATCTCACACAGAAACTCAATAATGTTGACAATCAGTTATTCATGGCCAGTATCAAAGAGAACTTCAAAACAAATCTCGAAGCTCATACAACACTACCCCCTTTAACAGTAAAAACTGAAAATGGGGATTCCCAAATGATGGCAGTGAATTCTTGTGTGCAAGGAAATTCGGAGGAACAGATTTCAGAAGACAATGTTATGCAGAACTTTGAGAAAACCCTGGAAATAATTAAAACTGCTATGAATTCACAGATACTTGAGGTGAAAACTGAAATTCAGGATCCTGTTGCTGCTTCAGAACAGACCTCACAAGTAAATAATGCACAGACTTCTTTGGGAAATTCTACACATGGTATAAAGCTACCCACTCCTGCACAGTTTGTCATGCATGCGGGGAACGTCACTGCTGCAAAGAGTAGCTCTACTCAGTCTGAGACAACACAAAAGGATGATATTCAAATGCTGGAAATTTTGGAGGGCTTGCAAAAACTGAAACTAGAAAATGATCCACCCGTTCAGGTCTCTGAGACTGTTTCCCAGTGTCCTCCAGCAGATACACTAGCACCAGCAGTTCCTGTTGTGTCCACAGAAAATAAACCCCTCATCCAGATATCTTCAGAGGCGAGTAACATTCAGTTTAGTGATAAAGTCAATAAGCCTTTTGTATGTCAGGATCCAGGCTGCAATTATAGTGCTATGACAAAAGACGCATTATTTAAACACTATGGCAAGGTTCATCAGTACACTGCAGAAATGATACTAGAAATTAAGAAACATCAACTGAAGTATGCCCCGTTCAAATGTGTTGTAGCTACCTGTCCAAAAACATTCACAAGAAACTCTAATCTCCGAGCACACTGTCAGCTTGTACATCATTTTACGACAGAGGAGATGGTAAAATTAAAAATTAAAAGGCCTTATGGCAGAAGGTCTCAAAATGAAACTGTAAACACAGCCCCACGACCTGTTGAAATAAAAACTTTGCCAACACTAATAGTAGAAAACAAAACTCCAGCTCTCTTGGTCAAAGAAGCTCAAGTAAAGGAAGTTGTAGAGCCTGTAAAAGTATTGGAAAAACTACCAGAAATTAATATTCCTGAAAAACTGGAAAAACCTCCCCAGGCGGTTTCTGTTCCACCAGAGCAGCATAATGCAGCCTCTTTTGGTAGTACACAGGCACAACCCAAAGTATGCAAGGCTAGGCGGTACAGAAAGGAAAAAGAGGAGAGAAAACGTAGGAAGCCTGTAACAAAATCTCTGGAATTTCCCACTAGATACAGCCCTTATAGACCATACCGGTGCGTCCATCAGGGCTGCTTCGCAGCTTTTACGATACAACAAAACCTAATCCTTCATTACCAAGCTGTGCACAAATCGGACCTCCCTGCCTTCTCTGCCGAAGTGGAAGAGGAGAATGAGCTAGGCAAAGAGGAACGCGATGAGGTGGAAACCAAACCTGCCATTAGAGAGTTCAGGTGTGAGGTGAATGATTGCTCACGCATCTTCCAGGAAGTTACCAGCTTGATACAGCATTATATGAAGCTTCATGACATGACCCCAGAGCAAATTGGAAACATGAAATTGGCTCCAGAGACCGGAAGGTTTTCTTGTGATCAGTCTCAATGTAAGTCTTCGTTTACAGCATATCTTAACTACATTGTACATCTTGAGGCAGATCACGGTATTAAGATAAGGCCAAACAAAGTAGAAGATGACGGTGTATTCAAGTGTGACTGTGAAGGCTGTGACCGTATTTATGCTACTAGGTCTAACCTCTTGAGGCATATTTTTAACAAACATAATGACAAGCATAAAGATCATCTAATAAGACCCAGGAGACTGACCCCAGGTCAGGAAAACATTTCAAGCAAAGCAAATCAGGAGAAACCACTGAAGTCCAAACAGAGAGGACTAAAAAACAGATCAGGAAAAGAAGGTAACAGGCTGTCAGTGAAACCAAAACGAAAGAAGAGTGTGAACTTGGAAAACAAAAACTCAAAAGGAATGCAAGTTCAAGAAAATAAGGCTTATTCACTGAAACGTGGCAAGCATGTGTATTCAATAAAGGCTAGAAATGATGCCTTATCAGAATGTACGAGCAGGTTCATAACTCAGTATCCGTGTATGATAAAGGGATGTTCATCCGTAGTTACAAGTGAAAGTAACATCATAAGGCATTATAAATGTCATAAGCTGTCCAAAGCATTTACTTCCCAACACCGAAATCTTCTTATTGTATCTAAAAAGCTCTCTGTCTCACAAGTAAAGGAATCTTCTTGTGAGCAAGAGGAGACTGATAAAAAGAGTGATGTGAAAGAGCCCGAACCAAGTTTGATAGCAAGCAATAATGATTCAAGCACATCTACGTTACCACAAAAGGAAACTGAAAAAGGTGAGAAGGATGAGGTGGATGAGCTAACAGAACTATTCATTACTAAACTGATTAACGAAGATTGCTCAAGTGCTGAAAATCAAGCAAAAATCTCTTCCAGTGTAAATAGTGACTTGCAGGAAACCAGCTCCTGCCCCTCAGAGAAGCAAAAATCAAACAACTTAAAAAGAGCAAACAAAGAAAAAAATGTATCTCAGAATAAGAGGAGGAGAACTGAAAAAACTGAGGAAGTACTGCCTGTTGACGTGAGTAGCATGCACAGGGAGGAAGAGACTGCTGTCGCCATTCAAACGGCTGAAGAGCAACCTGCAGCTTTTGACTGGAGCTCTTTTAAGCCGATGGGTTTTGAAGTGTCATTCCTCAAGTTCCTTGAAGAGTCTGCTGTGAAACAAAAGAACACCGAAAGAGACTACCATAGTGGTGGAACCAAAAAAGGATCCCATTCAAACTCACGAAAATCCACTGAGAAGACCTCCGTAGCAAGTAGTAATGTCACTTGGTCATGTTCTGAAACTGAAACCCTTGTACCGTTTGCCAACCCATCACAGCTTCCATGTGGTGATAACATGAAGATAGTTTTAGACAAGACATTTAAAGACTGCACTGAGTGTGTGTTGAAGCAACTTCAGGAAATGAAACCTACTGTCAGTTTGAGAAAGCTCGAAGGACGTTGGGAGGATAATCCAGAGGTTACAGCTGCAAAAGTAATTGTTATGAGTACCGAGTAAGGGGAGTGAAAATACTGAAAACCTATTGTGTTTAACCGTGACCTTTAATAAAATTTATTTTGAATTGGAAGCCATCAAGCATGCTAGTAACTGTGGAGCTCTTTTATTTCGAAGTGATTTAATCTAGCAAAAAACATGACATGAGTCATGTAAATGTCTTATTTGCTTTTATCCCTATGGGACTTGAAGAACAGAGTAATTGCTTCAGTTTTGTAAATACTCGATCAAAACCTCAACTTTCTATCAGATTGTCCTTTCCATGAACTAAATCTTTGTGAGTTGTCTGTGATTGGTATCTTTCACCAGGTCACTGCTCATGTATAACAGCACTCTTTATTTGTAGATACATTTTTTTTGTATATATTTATTATTGTAAATCATTTGCTGCCACCAGCAGTCTGTAAGTCTAAACTATTAAATGACACATTTATATTCGGAATTTTAATTTGTAACTAAGTGAGCAAGTTTTTAAAACTGTCCTTTAGTCATTTTAAATTAAGAACTTTTGAACTAAAACTAGCTAAGTCTGCCATATCCAGTTTATTTTGCATAAAGCATTTATTTACAGGAGAGGAGCTGGATAAGATCACATTTCATAGGTTAAACGTACTGACACACTCTCATTTTTGTAAATTTTAACATCCAATATCTATGGATGATATTCATATGTAGTTAACTCATAAATATAATAGTTTTCTTATAGCTACATTTTTCATTGCTTTTAATTGGATACAAAGCATTTATGATTCCATAATAAAAATGGAAATGTGAATAAAAATAGTTTGCTACATTGGAGATTTAAAACAATATTTGGTATTAAAGAATCCGTTGTGAATGTGATAGAAAATTAGTAGTGTGGAGCAGTGTATATATTTGAGGTGGTGATTTGTGAAGTAGCCCAGTATTGCCTTAAATAAAATCACATTTCATTTCTTGTTTTATACATGTGATCTTATAAAGGTTATTTTTGTTTCTGTAACTTAGATTGGTGTATAGTTTAATTTTTGTTAAAAAAACAAAAAAAACTTCAGAAACCGTTTTTGTAAATAGTGGGTTTATAAAACAGATGGTTTATTTTGATAATACCAATTTGGTATCTATCTATAAAATAACATGAGTCCTTATGCCATACCATTAAAAACTGAATAAACAAGGCACTTTCTGAAAGGGAAGTGAGATTGTGATCTTGCAGATAAACTCGGTGGTTGTGCTCTATTGATGGCATAGGCTCCCTCCGCGCTCTTCTGCCTCTTGCTGACTGTACCTGGCAGCACTCTGGCCACGCCTCTCTTTTCCACACTGGAATGAGCCTCAGAAGCGGTGCTGCTTGTAGTGCCCAGGATAGGAGCAATTTCTCTGTATGCTGCTAAGTGAAACAACAGGTATCCAGTTTGTCAAGTAACCAAAAGCTTGAATGCATTCGTGGGAGCTGTCAGTACCCAGGAATCTTCAGTGTTGGTTTTCATCCACGATTATACTTAACTCAGATGGGACAAGCCAGCTGGATTGTGTGGTACCAAAAATTTTGCTTGGATTATTCTCATTACTGGATGTGACCTACCTTCAGTAATATAAAATAGTCTTTATCTTAGGAGAGATTGGCTTGATTTTTTTTTTTTTTCTATAAACTTGTCTTGCCATGTAAAGCTTTGCATTAAATGCTACACTTGATTGCTCTTAAGCTATTCACCTGGAATCTTTGACAGTTTACTTGAATATCAATGCAGAGGGCACATTCCTACAACCAAGTGAACTGACTTGTTGCGAGAGTGAGTATTATGTATGAAAAAGAAGAAACACAACAGCATTTCAGCTTGGGCATAACCCTCAGTTTGCTATCTGGTGCTAAACTGCAGACCTCAGAAAGCCCATGCTTCCCTCCTCTTGCTTTTGATCCCTCCCAAGTGACAAACTAAACTGATAATTCTGACAAGTTAGTAATTCAAAGGTGCATCTGAGAATGATCAAACCAAAACAAATCCTTGCATTTTAATTCTAGGAGACATCATTGTAATGGTTATAAGCACATGATGCCACGTCCTACCTACCGGAGGCCACACAGTTTCCCTGGATGGAGACGCTGTTGGATGCCAGCCACAGTGATTGTAGAAGGGATCTTCTGTAGGGGAGAAAATGGCAGAGAACCTCTCTGCAGGGGATCCACAAAAGCTTGCCTGAAATATCTTGTTTTCAGATGTACCTAACCACTGCAGTCACTGTCAACAGACCTCACAACTGTTGATTTTTAGAAGACATTTGTGTTGTATATGTTAAATAGTTTCAAACTGACCTTCCTGATGATAGATCACCATATGCAGTTTTTAGACAGAACAGCATACAACTATTTAGCTACACGGTGCTATACTAGAATGCTATTTTTTAAAAAGGAGGAAAAAAAAAAAATCTAATGTCATAAATATCCAGGAAATAATTTCTGAAACTTTTAATATTGTCTAATTCTTAACCCAATTAATCCAGTTAAAGTGAGTGCTGTACCAGTATAGTCATGGCACAGTCCCTTTTAGGGGGGTACTGACAGCCTGTCCAAGAGGTAAGCTGGTATGGATGTGGGTTTTTTTCCTTTTTTAAAAAACAAGTATTTTAAACTAAAAGTGGGAGACTGAAGGCAGGGTCTGCCTGATTTAAGATGTCTTGGACTGCAGAGGGCACTGTGGTTTGGTAAAGCCCCCTACAGAAGTTCCTGAGGAAATAGAATTGGTATTTGCGTTTAGATATTTTACCTTGAGTGATGTATAAAACCCTGCTATAGTTGCAGTAGTTTGCCTGAACTGACAGATTTCCTGGAGCCATACTTCTGCCCTTGGGGCTGCTGGGCGGGATAGGGCTCTAGCAGGGCCGAGCCCAGCTCTGCCAGCACTGCCTCAGCCTGAGGGTTGCCTTGATACCCATGGGTGCTGCCAGCCCCTGCCCCACCACCTCTTTCCTCCCTCTCCCTCCTCTGTGTCTCTGTCTTCCAGCTGTGGTGCGTTTGAGCAAATATGCTTTATTTTAGACCCCTTACCACCATCGGGAATGTTGCTGATGGGAAAGCAACCAAATCAAGGGATCTGGGTGGAGAGTACAGACTCTTGTGATTGAAAGACCTCTTTAAACTGGCAGTCAGCCTCTCGTGGTTAACTATAAAGAAATCTTACATTGTCTGAGCCCTAATTCAGTGTAAATAAGAGCAATGGGTTTGTCCTCACATGTTTCTGGGGTGGTGGTTCTCAGCAGGATGGGGAGACTGCTGGCCCTAGAGTGTTCTGCCATGTCCTGTCTACAGGTGTTAGATAGTGAGGGAGCGATGCTTTTAAAATTAACACTGAAAACAGTTCTTGGCTTAGGCGAGGAAAAGTAGTTGGCTGTATTCTTGCAGTTAGTTTCTGTGCCAAAGAAGTAGTATGGTTGGGGCTGCCATCTGCACAGGCACGCTAGCCTGAGGCCACCAGGGCTAGAGGTGGCTCGCTGAAGCAGGAGTTGGGGCAGCAGCTCCTGCTCATGCCCTGCTTTTTTCTGTGACTTTTTTCAAACCTCATCTGTCACAAAGCAAGGTCATTACTTGGGTTTTAAAGAACATAAGTATCTGTGTAAGACTTTGAGCTTTTAATGTTTGCAGAGATGTTTTGAAATATGAGGTAAATATTATTTGTATGAATGTGCATGGAGTGATCATGTTATTTCTCCACTGCAGCGTAGGCTCAGATCAGCTTCCTATGAATTGCTAAGTGCTTGAGGAGACCGTACATTTACACTTTAAAAGAAGAAAAACAGCACTTGATTTTTAAAAATTTGACTGACTTGGAAGTTGAATACACAAAAAAGCCATTAAACGTTTAGTTTAGGGTCCAAACCTACAAACTTACTTGAACCCAAATTAATAGCAAATTACTTCAGAGATGGATGGATGAGTGAAAATTAAACTGGAGCACAAGGGACTATAAAGGTAGAGAAATGGTTGTGGAAAGGAAGGAGCCAGTAAAAGACAAAGAGCAAGCTAGCCAAGAGCCAAGGGTTCAGAAAGTAGATGAACAGTTTCTCTTCTTTCAGGTTAAGTAAAATCTGACAGTTGCCTTGTGTGATGCTCGTTTCCTTTTCATTAGTGGCTGGCTCTGTCAAACAATTTTGCAGCACGTAACGTGAAAACCACTTGGTGGTTTGCTACGAGTGAGTCGGGGGTTACACAGAGTTGGTCCATAATAATCTTTCAGAGTATTTCTCATGTAATGTACTGGCTTTGTCGAAACTAAAGTATCCTCCAAGACTTGAAACCTGTTGATTTTGGAATTTATTTACCATTTCATGACTGTTGAAGATAGAATTAGAAATAAAACCTCAACTATACATTCCAAAGAATTAAATTTCTTGTTTTACAGGAAAATTTTTGGTCTAAATGGGAAGCTCTGACCAGCCACAGAGCTATAGGGGATGCTCTAAAACCCTTCAAGCCCACATACTTTTTTATTAGAGAGCAGCTAATGCACAAATTTGATCAAAAAACCTGTGTTGGATAAACTGTTTGCTTCTCTTCGTTTTCTCTCAAATAAACCTTGCTTTAAAAAACAAAACAAAACAAAAAAACTTTTTCATTAATGTGCTGTCTTACAATCTGTCCTCAATAATTAAAAAACAGTCATTTTGGAAAATTTTTATATTTTGCTGGTGTTGCCCTTGTGTTAAAGAAATCATGCATTAGGGTACAAAAGGGCCAAGATAATTTTGGGTTTTGTTGTCAGTTACTCACACTGTGGCAGTCACAGTTACACAGGACTAATGGGTAATGGTTTTGCTTCATTCACTCCTTGGTGGGTTTTATCCAGTAGCTGCAAAAGGGTTTCTGACTGCATTTTTGAGTACGTAGAAATTTAACAGTAGATGTTCTGTTTTGTATAAAGCACGTTGTCTCAATGTATGCACTGATTCAGCATCACCCAAGATGTAAAAGTTAAACTGGCCACAAACTGGCAAGCTGGTATCTGAGGGACTGCTGTCACTGCAGTTCAGCAGCAGTAAATTTATTTTCACCTTTTATAAAATCAGGTTTATTTTAGCAACAAAGCTTGAAAATTAGTCAAAAGCACATAGTTTATTCATTAATTCTTAAAGTTAATTCTGTAACCACCACTACCCCAGTACTAATAAAAGTAACACTTTGTAACCAAACCTGGGGGGTTTTGGAGTGAAAAAAAAAAAAAAAAAAAAAAGTTAACATGCTTTTGCTACTGTTTCGTCTTTATCCTGCCATGAACAATAAAACTGGTTCAACATTCAGGCAGCTCCGCTGATTGCAGGCAGCGTTTTTCTCTAGAGGGTGTATTTTGATCAGGCTCACCACTGATGTATGTCCAGAAGCCTTTCATCCCAGCAATGGAAAGAGAACACTACCCCAAAATAAGTTTTTAGGCACTAATTTCTATCATATCAGAAGTCTAGGTTTGACAGAAGACACGGCTAATTTCTGTCCCTCTCCTGTTAGCCCAAGCAACACACATAACAAAGAGAAGAGGTGTGTGTTGTTTAAGAGATATTGTCAAATCTGGGGAGAGGGAATAGGTGATTCTTTTTTACTTTATTTCTAGTGGAGGCTTTTCAGTTTTTTAGATTTCACCTGTTCTACAGCAGAGAATTCTACTGAAGGGGTAGCAATATTTTCAGCCTTTACTAAAGGGACCAGATTCCAGGCTGCTGAATACTAAGACTACTGACTACTGTTTTGCCGTATTGTGCAGTCTGCACTTCTCAGATCCTTTGAGAAAGTACCTTTTCCTACAGGATGCATTCTGAACTATAAAGGGCTCAAATACCTCCAGAAGGAGGTGCTCCACAAATAGCTCAATAACCAGGTCTGTCTTTATCACCTGAGCTAAACTAGATGTGTGTACCTCTTATTTTGTTCCTATTTTGAGATGCTTTTCAGTAGTCCAGTGGAATGGGCTTGTGAGCATCCAGCTCACTTGAAGACACCCGCAGCTGCTGTGTGCCAGCACTTTCCAATCACTATTTCAACAGTTATCAGACCAACTCACGTGACACTCACCTGACAAATGCTGTATATCCCCTTACTGTTCAGCATCTTAATCAATCCTAGGTTCCTACAACTCTGCATATAAAAAGCCTATTTTTGCTTGTACCAAAGCAATTCTGCATAATACTTAAAACACAACTGTTTGAGCAATTGTTTCAGCATGATTTATCATAAGGATCTGTGTTTATATTAAAATTCATGGAATATTCAGACTTCTAGACCTCTTGTTTCAACATGAAAAGATCTAGATGGCTCTATATATGGCATACATAGTGTGACTTCATTTATCCTCTCAAGTAAGGGGAACTAATAGAGAAAAAATACTTCCTACATAACTATCCTTTCAGTTCTGTAAAGCACTGATCAGAAAAGCAATTTGTCAAATGCAGCTTATGTAACAGGGAGGTGGTCTCTAGCCTTTTTTCAAGTCAACAGGGAACTTTTTTCACATTTGTCTTGTACTTTGAGAGGGAAGGACGGGGAGCTGTTGTGGAACTGTCCCGCAGCTGCTGGTCTGTTGTGACCAATTATTTCTGATTCGTGGCAGTCACCCTCTGAGCCTTGATGTTTCCTGATGTACCTCTACAGATAACATTTTATGGAGTATTTGAAAATGAGATAACTCAATTCGCTTAGATTTAATACAATGCACAGGCATGAAGTTACCACCAGAAAATAGAGGAAAATCATCTTCTCTGTGGGTTTGGAAATATAGCAGTCTACGGTATTGGGACATGGTCTTATGTCACATTTCACAAGACTTGGTACTTTGAATCCATTGTACAATTTATAAAACAGAACGAGAAAAACTATTTCAAATCCTTTTTTAAACTAAGGCTGATAAGGTAAGTGCACAGCAATCCACCATCTATCTCTCCTGGACTTTTATAGTTTCTGGTTGTGACATTTCTCTCTGTTCTCTTGGTAAGCAACAGGGAAAACAACCAAAAGTGAAGGAGTGGAGACCATGATTAATGGCAAAGCCCTAAGTCTGATGTGGGAAACGGGGAAAAAAATGGTCAAAGCAGACATTTTCACAACCAGGCTGCTTGATACTGCATTCAAATTCATCATGTTCATATTTCCAGATGTTTTCTGCGGCCGCAATGTAAACCAGTAAGCAGAATATGAACACAACTGCCACCCACATCCTTCCAATTCCTGTTGAATATTTATTCACTCCACTCAGAAGATGGTGTAAGAATCCCCAGCTCATTTTTCACCTCAAGGAAAGAAGGAAATGCTGGATTGAAGAAACACAAGATCAGAGAGATACTTCGTCTTGGGTGAATTAAAATGAGATGTTCATTCAAGGTGAAATACAACTAGCAGCTGAAACAATTTGAAATTATTAAGCATTTAAAAAGGAAAACAACAACAAACTTAGTTCTGATAATTTTGTACCTTCTGGGGCTATCACACAAAATTTATTTGCTGATAAAATAGATTTTGTTAATTAGACTGAAGTGTAATTGTTCTGTTAAACTGTTCTCTGCAAGTAAATGTGCCAGTTCTTCCTGTGGGTCTCCTGAGCAGCAGGTAGAGCTTTCTCTGGCACGTTCAGGCTATCACTCTAGCATGAAGGTACACTCAACTTAGCCATGTCAGTTAGGCAAATACTAAGCACAGTCAAATCGGATTTCACTTTCAAATTTGTGTATATGAGCCGTGTGTTAATTACCAAAATGAGGATCATTTTCTTTTTGTCTGTGATCTAACTTCTCAGTAAACTTGTGCAATATTTTAGATCCTGTCCTGCTTAATTGGATTTTATTTGTTGTATTTCTTATCATTTAAGAAATGCACAAAACTTGACTCCAAAAATGTTTTTTATAGTTTCTTTTCTGCATTAAGTCTTCCCTGTCCTGACTGGAACACTTTTTTTTTTTTTTTTTTTTTTTTTTTTTGAAGAGCTGCATAAGGAGCCAGTGGCAGCCAGACTCTCCTTAGTCAAAAGAAGACCTGAGATAACCACCAAGAGCATATACCTTCCCACCTGGCCCCACCTCCAAGGTCTGCACAGATCTTCAAGGATACCAAACTCCTTTGTATTGTAAGAGCAAAAAGTAGATATATTTCCAGGACACAGAATGGCTGGGAGGCATGCAGAGGGAAATTTGAGAAATTTTGAGATCTGTGTGTTCTATCTTTTAATGTCCTCATCCCATCTACAGCTTCCACAATCTCTGCCTAGCAGGGGAGAAAATGTACCCCTCTGTGGCTGCAGTGACACATGCAAACTCTGCTGCCACTGCTGCAGCTGTGGTTCATACTGATGTATGAGCAAGATCATCAACTGGCAAGTCTGAGTACAAGTAGTAATTGGGCCACAGCATCAAAAAACTCAACAGAGACAGCAACCTCAGTACTTCTTTCACTGTCCCTTGATTCTGCAGCCCATTGTGACTTCTGCCTATGGCCAGACTTCTGCTGGAAAACAACGTTATTTGCCTGTTTGGGTATTGCTACATTGCTACCATTAAAACTGATGAACTGGTAACTTAAAAAGATGAGGGACAGCTGCAGAAATGAATATTGCTGATTTATACTGGGAAGGATGTTGAAAAACGATGCTCTCACGAAGAATGCTTACCAAGCTACTCCTTTATGTTGCAGGTAAAAATAGTAGGGGAATATCAGTTGCCTTATATCCTATCAGACATATGTTTATATGCTTTTACATATGTTTGTCAGGGTAGTGAGTTCATCATTAAGGAGCTATTTCTGTCCTCCATGTCTGCAATTAGAGCTCAAGCAGACGCTTAAATCAAGCTCTTCAAGACATCAGTACTAGGGCTTTAATGCTTTCTAGATAAGTAATACGCAGTCAGTACATCCGTCCCAAAGGAGCTGAATAACAAAGCATGAAGACACTGCTATGTAATAAAGCACAAGCTAGGAAACAAAACATTGACAGGAGCGAGTGTAAATATTAACACATATGAACACATCTTGTGGATGAGCTGTCCTCTGGAGGAGATTTGAAGGAAAACCTCAAAAGGCCTTTCCTATGATTTTAAGATGCATACAAGCACTACAGAAGGGAAGACTGAATTTTGTTATTCCATGAAAATGAGTACAGCTGTGATTGGGCTTTTGCTACCAGCCATAAAAACTGCACTATCCCTTTCTAATCTAAAAAGCCTAATGTCACCAATCAATTCATGACTGGAGTTACACCAGTTCTGAGCATCCAGCTGAACAAGATGGGACAGAAATCAAAAAGATGCTGGGTCACCAGCAAGGCACAAAAATCAGTAGGAGCCAACACTGATGAAAATCAGGCCATGGAGATACTTAAATACAGATTGAGAAATTTACCTTGAGGTTTCTTTTCCCAAAGTTTAGCTGCTACTTCCTTACCTGAGCAGTAAGAGAGATTCAAAAAGAACAATTTTATCCCTTCTTTTGCCAATCCCACACTGAGAAGAATGATGTGAAGTGAAAAAAAGAAGTCCTGCGCAAAGAAAATGGGGATCAAGGATTTGACTGAAACCTCTAGCAGGACCTGAGCAATAGGCATATTCTAGCCAGCTAGAAGATCAGATGGATAAATTCCTGCAAAGCTATTTTGAAAAATAGCAGTGTGTTCTTGTACCTAAGGCAGCAGAGATTTCATGGAACTAAAGATGGTTCCTGGTCTATGTGCTCTGTTGATGAGAAACAAATTTATTCAAGGACTGCAGGGCAGGTCTTGTGGTCAGCAGTGCTTCTGCAGCCAGAAGTCTGCAGATCTTTGGTTGTATTTTTTCACTTGCAGCTTTCACTTGATGTTGAGAAATGGTTGTACAGGACAACCTTCAGCTGTAGGCCCAAAGGGCCACAGAGTCCATTTTGTGGTATTGTTTGAGTTGTAACCAGCACAACAACTCTGTTTAAAGGAGCTGCAAAAGTGCCTTTAAAAGGTTATGTTTGCTTTATACACCACTGTTGCTACAGAAGATTGTGGATGTTAACTGATGCTTTTGTATCCTTTGAAAATACAGTTGATTCACTGAAGCATTGCAAAGAACATATGGAACGGAAAAAATAAAATTGACTTCAAAGATAAGGAGTTACTCAACAGATGAACAAGAGCAAATGGACTTAATGGGACAACACAGGCACAGACTGATGAGAGGTTAAGTTAGCTGAAGCTAGAGAAGACAAAGATATACGGGCTGCATGAAATTCAGAGCAAAGTAAGGATTCAGACAAAAAAAAAAAAAAAAAAGGAATCTTCAAGTAAGCACACAACTGAGCAGTAGGAAAATGATGACAGTGGTACAAGGTTCTGTAACACTTCTAGAAGTGGCAGTACACATGGAAGCAGATGCCAAGAGTAGTGTCAGAACACAATGCTTTAGCAAAATGATATTCTGACTAACCTAGATACAAGAGAGGAAAATATGTAATCCAGATCCTTGTAGCCAAAGAGAGATTTCAACCTTAGCATTTGGAGGAGTCTTATTTTGTGCAAAATAAATTAAAGGGAGACGAGAAGGGAAGCTGGCTAAAGAAATTGAGTAATTATGGAAAATGTAGATGACCTCAATTTGCATTGAGTTAATGTCTCAAAAGTGCTCAAGAAAAAGTTGAATGGAGCAAGTGATGAGCAGGGATTTGAGGTAGGATTTACTTCAACCCCCTGTTCCATACATATACACACATGTACACTCCAACCTGGAAAAAAGCTGAAGCTTAGAGATACGTTGATTTGTTGTAGTCATCTCTAGCTGAAGTACTAGGGATGAGCATGAAAATAAATGCCTGGGCTTCTACTACCAGCCAGGAAATGGAGCAAGTAATCTCTCTTCTTCCTCACATACATACATCAGTTATTCCCTAGATGTGACTTAACACCCCCCACCACCAACACATGTACTTTGTCCTGCTCACTAGACACAAATGCCTCCACAGAAGAGCCTCCACAGCCCCTGTTTCCTTCAGACTTATCAGTGACTTTGTTTCCCCCCTTAAGGCTGCACACATACTCTGCTAGGCAAACAGAGCAATCTGAATGCACTACTAACTTCTGAGTTGCTGAATGTAATTTATTGAGCAAAGTGTTTGAATAATGCTATTATTGTTGAATATATTAATCAAATAATTTCTGTCGTTCAGTGAAGTCTACAGAAGGTTGGCTAATGTGCATTCAGTAATGCACCCATTGAAAAGCATATTGCTCAGAGAATTATTTCACCTAGATTTCAATCAGCTCTGCTAATTTAATTACTTTAAAAGCACAAAAGGTATCTTTGTGCAGAGGAAAATGGAAAAAAAAAAAAAATGCAAGAACAAACTGACTAAGTAGAGAGGAAGTGAGGAAAGCATCCAGAGTGTTAGGGACACAAAGAGGGCAGGCAGCTCAGAGCTCAGAGAGCAGGCAAATTACAGGAAGAAGGCACAGTATTATGGGAAATGGAGATAGAATGGTAAGAAATAACAGAAAGAACATGAGCCTGGAAACTGGGATCTATGAATTCTGTTCAAGCAAGCTGAATCATCCTCACAGGCTGAAAGATGGAAAATTACTTTCTTTTTCTGATACAAACATTGTTAATGGGAGTATTTTGCTGCACCTGCAACTTACCTTTTTTTTTGTTGTGGTTGATAGAAAGAGAACTATAAATAGTGGCAAAAATGATAAAGCAGAGAGCAGTAGAAAATCACGGAGGAGGATATAGGATCATTAAAAAAAGCAGAGCTGGTAACAAACTTGAGAGTTTCTCCTCTCATTTTCTTTTTACAATTTAATCAAAACATCAACATGTGGTGTTTTTTAACACCAAGGATCTTCTCAGTGTTGTTAGGAAGAGAAAAAAAGTGTTGGTACAATGGTTTCCATAAACAACCAAATAAATAATGAAGCTTAGCTGCAGATGTTAATTTAGTAACTGTGTTTTCCCCTTACTTTCTTTGTTTGCTCATATAAGGAAGTGCACATCTTTGCTGAGTCTTTGTGCTTGTTTGATGGACTACCCACTGCTTCCTTACTGACTACCAGAGATGTGAGGTCCACAGGCTGAGAAAGAGTGATTTGCTTCATTCTCTGGCCCTGAGAAGGCTTCATAATGCATATACAGTTCCTGACAGTTCGGTCTTTTAAGCTGATGGAACTCCACTAGCCCCCCACCCCAGTGTGATGCATCTATCCCAGTGCTCCGCTACAGAAGAGGGAGCAGAAAACCTACTGGGAACACCAAGGTACAATATAAGTCCATTCAAAGTCACCCC